GAACACAGTTTCCCACTCAATCTCCTCTCCCAGCAATCGGCTAGGCATATACTGTCCCACAGCCGGCAGGGATGTGTGTGTCGGACTACACTCTCGGCGATCCTCCGATGCCAACTGCCCACAAGCCAAACCTAAAGACGGTGGTCGAAGCTCCACCAACGGAATTGGCGCTACCATCCCAACAGTATGCAGATCATCACATTCATCTTGTCGATGCGACCCAAGTCCATCAAGCAATGAATCGAAGACCTGATTCACCGACGGGTTAAGTTGTACCCAAGTCGGCAACAATGGGCCAGCTAGTACTTGCTCCTGTTGAGCTGGGCCTGTTTTATTAGGGCCCAACCCATAAACTCCAATGCCTAACTCATTAAATCCATTAGTAGCATGGCCCATTGCTTGGGCTTCCACTCTACCCCGTCAGTCCACTGCCTTCCCTTTATATGGGCCCATTTGGGCTACACGCGAAGCTCAATCCTTTTTTCTCAACATAGGCGGCCTACCTCGAAGCCCAAACCCATGGAACCTATCACCATATCTGCGATCAAATCCCCTTAATATCTTAGACCTAAAATTCTGTCGTTCATCACGCCTCCATATGCGACCTTCCTTGTGCTCCTAAACTCCATCGCGCATCTCCACCACCGGCCGAACAACCTCGACCGTGGGCCCTGTTTCCGGCCATATAGGTATCTCATACTACCAAGACTCCCATCGGAGCGAGATCGTGGTAGGAATACTACCGCCACGGCGAACTTGCAATCGAACCACACCAAGGTCTGACGCCGAGAGTTCATCAACGTCCACCAAACCCCCACACTTGTCACCGATGAACCTATACGTCTTTGTCCCGCGAAGATGTAAAGGTAAACCTACCACCCGCAACTACGCCTTCTTCTCCGATACCAGCCCCGTACCACATAAAGCCGACGGCGACCACCATTGCAAGCTCAAATCACGGCTAGCAATAACCCACCGACGTCGTAGAACCAGCCCAGCTTCATGCTGTGAAGGGAACACAAATAGGAAAGCTTGAGGCCCCACCGGTTAGACCTCCACCTTCCCCGACATCTTCCACCATCGATCCACCCACGTCGATATGGCCGAGAAGCCCACACCTTTGTCCCCTGCCAATCCCACGGTTCCCACCAAAGCCCTATTCAACAAACCAAACCACCCCTCCTCCGCCACAGCCTGAATCAACTGGCCACTGATGCCGATAGGAATCACACCTCCTACCTTCAACAAAACACCTGTGTGCACCGCTGATACCCCTTTTACGGTGGCAATCTTCGAAACCCAACCTTTCCCCTTGAGAAATCCCTCTATGACTAGAGCCACAGCCTCCCATCCATCCCCAAACTCCGAGGTAGGGATAAAAATCTAGAGCCGCTTGCTGTCTAGCATGACCACAATCTGAACTGAAGCCCCACCCTCCTCCTCGCCACGAAGCCAAACAGCCACACTCCGACGTTTCCCATCCAAGCGACCTAGAAAAGATGAGGTCCCACTGTGACAAGAGGCCTCCCTCAATTTCTGCACAATCCAACCTACCTCAAAACCGACCAGAATTACCTCTCGCTGTAGCCCTGTGCCACGCTCCACAATCCCCAACCGCCGATGGCCCTGCGATTCCACTGTCTCCTCTTGGGTCTCAAAGGATAGACCGCCAAGGAAAAGAATCCTTCACCGTGGCCCATCCTCCAGCGTCACCGGCAACAAACCAGGTAACACACTAATACCATCGGAAACCGCTTCTAAGATTGGAAATAACTGACTCCCTGTCAGCGTGTTTATTGCACAAAAAACCTTAAAATGAAAAGATATTGAAAAAGCTCAAAAGGAAGGGACATCGTAACCTTGATGAAACTAGAGAATACAAGTTTTATCATAAAATAAGGAAGTTCAAGTTGGGAATTCCACATAAGAAGATGAAATCAGGTGACGCTTTAGGATCAGATTGTATCCTTATTGAGGCTTAGAAATGCTCAGTTAAGGAGAGCGTGTTTTGGTTAACAGAATTATTTAATAAGATTATAATAACTTAGAAAATGCCTGTCAAGTAGAGAAAGTATTGTAGTAGACTATATATAAAAACAAAAGAGATATCCAAAATTGCAACAAATATAGATGTAAGTTGATGAGTCATACAATGAAATTGTGAGAGTGATAAGCATCACCTAAGAAAAAAGTAGCAATAGTTGTGTTAGAGAATCAATTTGGATTTATGTCTAGTAGATCAACTATGGAAGTAACATACTTACTAAAGAGACTAATGTATGGAATGAAGTGGAATGAAATGGTCAATCCATCAAAATATTCATTCCAATGTTTGGTTGACTAAAAAAATAATGAAAAATACATTGCAAATGGAATCATCGTACACCATTATAAGGCAATGATCATTCCATAAAGGAGCTTAAGGAATGACCATTCCATTCCATTCTATCTCATTCCATTGAACCAAATCGAGCATAATAGAAAAGAATAGAGAACAAATAGGGATCTTCATATAAAACCAGACCAAACCAAGCCTTAAGTCCCATCAAATGGGGTCGGATCTTCATATATATATATATATATTAATAACTTATTATCCGGCTCATTGGACCGACTAATCCAGGGTATCAATCCCACCGTTCACTTGTGGGGATCTTCATATATATATATATAGTTAATAGATTTCAAAAAAATAGTGTCTAGGATATAATATGGTTGGTGTTAGAGGAAAGGATACTGACAAATGAGTATATTGATGCAACAAAAGCACATGTATGATGGAGTTGTGATTACAATTAGATCACTCGCAGGAAAAACAAGAGAATTTACTACTAAGGGTTAACCTTGAGTCTTTACCCATTTGCTATAGTCGTTGATGGATTGTCTGGATACATTAGGATGGTGTCTCATGTGCTCTTTACTGATTTTATTGTCTTATTGGATGACATTAAATGAGGAATTAGCACTAAATTATAATTTGGAGAGAAGCGTTTGAGTAAGGGTTTAAAATAAGTAGAAGTAAACTGAATATATGAAATATAACCTTAGTAACAATAGAAGTAAAAGTAGCAGTGAAGTGAAGATCAAAAACCAAGAACTATTAAAGAGGGAACAATTGTTCGATTATTATAATGATGGAGAGGTTGGAGATGATGTGACCCATACAAACAAAGTAGATTGATTCAAGTAAAGGGGTGCTAGCTGAATATATAAAATAATAAAAAAAAACATAGGTAAAGGGGTGCTTTTGGCATGTAATTTGATCGACAAGAACCAACTAAATTAAAGGAAAAAATTTAGAAGATAACTATAAGGTCAATGATGCTTTACTAAATAGAATGCTAGGCGATTACAAAACAAAACATTAATAAAATGAGTGTAACTAAAATGAGGATGCTAAGATGGATGTGTAATAAGTTCAGGGAAAATAGAATTAGAAATGAATATATTTATGAAATGATGTGAGTAGCACCAATTGGAAGTAAGCTTAGAGAAAATAGACTAAGATGGTTAGTTTCATAGTTGTTAAATTGGGATTCGTATCGTGAATCGAAATGACCTCGTACTGAATCGCGAATCGAATCGAATCGTGAATCGTAAAGATTCGGTCATTTTTTCTAAATTACTTAAAACATATATCTACATATTTAGATGTTAAATATATCTTATGAATATAAAATATTTAGACTTAAATTTATGAAAAATTATTTTGAATGATAATCACGTAGTTTAATTGGTAAAGAAGGTAACAAAGGTTCCTATGTAAGATTACCATCTTACCTTTTATTCTTTTTTAGATATGTCTTATCAACCATTCTTAATAAAAAAATAATAACCAAATAGACAAACTATCAATTTCTAAAGTAATAATAATTAATGATATTGATATTTGGACAATAAGTATACATACTTTTCTAAGTAACAGTAAGCAAATAATAAGAAAGAATTATTTAGAATCTTTTATTTTAAAACCTAAAACATTTTAAAAGATATAACTGATCTCAGCAATAGATAATTCATAATTTAACTTTAATTTTAAACATCATTAGAAGATATATTATGATTTTTTAAAGAAAAAAAAAATGAGAAGAAAGGTTAAAAATATGTTGGGTCTGATTAAATCTGATTGGATCCTATTAAAAACTCCATAATTAATAAAATAACAACAAATCATGTATATACGTTAGTTATTTTGGTATTAAACACTACAAGAAGTTGTATTATGTAATTTTCACCAAAAAGATGGACAAAAAAAGAGACGAAATATGTCGGACACAATAATTTCAAAAATTGCATGAATCGTAAAAAGTGAATCGAATCGTGAATCGATTGTGAATCGTACGATTCACTAGAGATTCACTTCCAAAATAGATTCACCCATAGATTCGTATCGATTTTACAAAAATTGTGAATCGAATCGCGAATCGAATCGCGAATCGTAAGATTCTGATAACAGAGGTTAGTTTATATACAATGAAAACTGATAAATGCAACAGTAAAGAGGAGCGATATGATCATTATTAATGGAAATTACTAGCGAGAGGAGAAGACCTAAATTAAAATGGAATGTTGTAGTAAAAAAGTCAGCGATTTATTTAATTTCAACTGACCATATAGCATTCCATAGAGTGGAACTGCTTTGGTTTGGTTTGGTTATCATGAGTGTTTTAGTTACAGATCAATGTTGTGTCCAAAGTATGAGTGCAGAAGTACAAAGTACTCGTGAAGGATGAATAAAAAATCTGTTCAAATGTTTGAATTTTTAAAGGTAACCTACAAATATATAACGAAATTACAAATACTTAAGAGAATTAACATAACTTTTACCATAAAGGTCAGTAATCATTGAACTAACCACCTAAGGAACCGTAAGAACATGCTAATATAAGGAAACCTGTGATAATGAAGAGTAGTAGAAGTATTTAAAATTATTAGATGTTGAACATACTGGATGCTTCAAAATGGCATACAAAACCATAGGAACTTTAATTCTAAATTACCTGAAGGACCTGAAGGACTGATTCCATCAAGATTCCTACAATGTGGATTCCAAGCATACACATCAACCAAATGACCAAACCTGTTGAGGATTTAACCAGAGTTGGGGTAAAGAACCACAAATTAACCATATTGTAAGGCTCTTCATGACATAGTTCAACAAGAAATATGGACTACATCTACCTGTCACCTCCAGTCCCATCTTTGTTATCTATTGGATTGCCTCCATACAACCGTCCCGGGACAGCATTTCCAATGGAGAAATGCATAATGTCGACTTCATAGCCATGGCAACTCGCGCTGTTGCATGTAGTTGGGGATTCTTTACATCCACCCATCTTGTGTATAAAAGCCATTCTCAGTAGTTATTTACCTTTTCTTTCCTTTTTTTTTTTGGAAAACAAACCAAAAGAATGGGGAAACTAGAAAGGCCAAATAACACAAATAGCAGCCGTAAAATATATTGAAAGTAATCAAAGATGCTTACATCATGATAGGTGGCACTCTCTCCAACTTGAAACATCAGAGCAACAGATGGGCATTTGGTGCCATCCCTGCATGACTCAGAAACAGACCCATTATATCTCAGCATGACCATATGAGTGAAAGCACTTGGAGACAACTGATATGATAATGAAGTTCAATGGAAAATAAATTCCTATACATAACTGAATGATATGGTGAAAGACAGATAAATAGATGACGTAATGTTCTTAAATTGACATAATAGTTAGTATCGATTATTCTTGGTTACTTAGACACACACACACACCTTTTTGTAGCTCAACCAAATCCCTCCCACCACGAATTCTTATTTCACCAAATACACACACACACACACACACACAGATACATATATATATATATATATAGAGAGAGAGAGAGAGAGAGAGAGAGAGAAGGAAACAAAAACGATAACCACTAAAATAATAGTTGATTGTGAATTTTTTACACATTCCACATGACAATGTCCTCACCATTTACTTAATGTTGTTGTCACTAAAAATAAGCCATAGCAACAAACTATATGATGTAAGCTTTTCTTAAACTGAGTGAGGAGTACCAAAACAAATGGGCTTTGATATAGAGCTAAGTAATTTGCGAAAGTAGTGGTAGAATAGTCCATATCCTTTACCTCCTTAGGTGCCCCTTTCTCTGCCCTCTCAATTTCATTGATCCATTTCATCATTAGTGAAACACATGAAAACATGAGATCACAAGTGATGATGTAGACCAATGCAGTTGAGGAGACAAAGCGGTAGGCTTAAGGAAACATAAGGTTTGTTAGATAGATAGGTTAGATTCCTATAATCTTAGACAGCTATAATTAATTTAAAATCCAGAAAACCTCCAATGCAGCTATTCCTTGAGCCAAACTAGAATTTGGAACTACACAAGTAGTGCAGACCCCCCTCCCCCCCAACAAAACAAAAACAAAAAAAAAAGAAAAGGATTTTCAGAACTCAAAGACAAGTGACCATACGGACATGTAAACAACCACGAGGCTAAGCATTGACTACTTTTGGGCCCAAGCTCAAGTTATAATAATTTTAAATCTAATGCAGGCATGCTAAATTTGTTGGAAAGACTGAAATCACAAGACCTCAGTGAAATTTTTAACTCCAATGAGTAAAATATTGAATACTATATCAAGGGTACTACAACTTCTACATCTCTTAACACAGGTACTTATGACCAGCAACCTCTAAGTAAAACTATTAAAAATCTCAAGAAATGAGGTTTTGGATGTACAAGTTTGTTCAAAAAGATGCTCCATGGTTTTTTCTGCAGTTAAATCCACTTGTCAGCTTACTCACAAAGAAACTTGATCAATCTACATTCGCTAAAACTTACAGGGAAAGTATGGTTTTGTGAATTAGGTTGAAGCTCATAAAACGCTTGTTTTTAAACTGCCTAACCTCAAAAGATGAAATTCATTCAGTGGGCTATGATCATGGGACGCTATCTTGGCATCTTAAAACAAACACCTGGTTTGAACATGTACGTAGTGAGTCTATTGATGACACAAGCATACAAAGCCAAACTTAACCTTCAACCCTATACAATTTGATAGATTCTCAATAAAATCAAGCAGTTTTGGCATCTTAAAACAAACACAGTGTGAGCATGTACATATAGTGACCACGTAAGTGTTTAAAGCCAAGCTAAACTTAACCTTCCCCATTTCAACCCTGTACAATTTGATAGATTTTCTCAATAATATCAATCATTTTTGCCATTTTATAATGATTTGAGCAACCATGGCATGCACCTCATTTAGTATGCTTCATCCTTTTTACTATTTGTGAACTTCCCCATGTAACCAGACTTTGCCAATATTTTAAAAGATTATTGCATACCAATGAATAGATCCCACTGAATAAACCATGCATACCAACAATGTATTCAACCTGATGACTTTTACCATCAGATGATTCTTTTGTAAATACAGACAATAAAGACTTCTTATTTTTTTTTGAATATTTAGTTGGGTTAATAAATAAAGGCTCTTTCTGAAAAGTTAATTTCAAATAATGAATTCTTCTAATCAGTTAATATCTTTATAAACATAATCCGATAAACTTCACAACAATCAGCTTGCTTTACTAAACATAGTTTTGTCACAAACCCTAAGTCCACTTGTCAATCGGCCTATCTTAGTAAATTTTCCAACAAATCCACCTTGTTGTGCATTCATCATTGAGACACTAGCATCCAACATACCTTCAGTCCAACTTAAGATGTAGTTTCAACCCAATCTTTTTTTTTTTTTTTTGATTGACATTGGGGTGTTTGGATCAAAGTCTGACTAATCAGCAGGGATGCATAGGCCCTCAGTAAAGAGCTTTCCGCAAGTACACTACGGTTAATTCAAGGGTTTTACCCAGGCCAATGGCCAGCAAAATGAAGACTGAGGATTCAAAATTTCAAACCCACCACATGATAAGTCTCATTCAATATCTTCATGTAATTTAAATCTCCTTATATTAAATGGAACTCATCACATGTTGGGTCCCGATCCTTCCCACCAAATAGGCACAACATGATTTTAATAGAAACATGTTGATCCAAATAACATGTAGTAGGGATACAACCAGGTAAATTTTCTTGGTTTAGCACAAACCAAAACCAAAACCAAAACCAAACCGCATTGGATTGATTCTCATTTCTTTAACCTAAAAACAGTAACCATTACAATCAAATCAAAACCATGTACAGTTCAATTTGGTTCACGTTTGAAGGTTCTCTTCTCCCCCCACACCTCGTTATTATTCCCTTTCTAGAAAATTATGGTAGGTGTACAAAGTTATAAGGACTAAAATCCATGGGATTTGTGTTCTCTTTTTGGATGAACCACTTTGTTGAGGTTAATTAATTGAATTTTATAGAAGGGTTAATACTTTATCCACAAAAAAAAAAAAAAAATAAGGTTAATACTTAATTAATTGATTTTTATAGATAACGGATTAAAATAACTTCCTATTTCTATTAAGTTAAACATTAACTAATAAGCCAATCATTAAGTGACAAACAAAGAAGTTAAATTGAATTTATGTGTCATGTGAATATAAGTTGTTAAGTACAAGTTTGGTTCTTGGGTTGATTTGGTTCTTTCAAGAACTCAACCCTTGACCAAACCAGGATCACCCTATTTTGTTACTGCATGAATCAAGACTAAAACAAAATGCCTCATGACCCTAAAAAATTATGATTGGGTTGTTTCAGCTCTATAGTGGCCCCTCATGATAGGGAGTTAAGTACATGGTTGACTTTCTTGAGCTCTTGTATGGAGTATCACTTTTGAGGAACAGTGAGGACAAGCCAAGGTGGATGCATGGAATGTGGGCTTTCTCAGTTAAGTCATATTATTCATTGATTAATGGAATGGAAGATTGAGGCAGTCATTCCTGACAAAGTTCATTTGGAAGTTCAAAGTTCCAACAAAGGTGGCATTCTTTGTTTGGACAGATGCCATGGATTGCATCACTACTTATTATGATAATTTGATGAAGAGAGGGTTTTACTTACCAGCCGATGTGGTTTATGTTGTAGAGAGGAGGAAAATGTTAGCCATTTTCTTTCTACTTCGATGGGATTTGGCTTGGGAGAGAAAGAAATCAATGTACATTTAAAGATACTAATTTTGGAGTACACAAGCTCAAAACGTCCTTATTGCATACTACTCATTTTTAGCATAAAGAATTTGTTTGTGATTCCTCTTTTGCTTTTAAAGTTAAGCTATGACAAGGACTGCACAATAATCTGTCAAGCTGTATACCTTAATCTTCTTTCTCGCGTTTCATTAGTAAAATTTCCTTAATTACTCACCATTTGATTGCCAAGAATGAAAGGAAGTTCAAAATTTTGACATATCACCATTTGAATCCAGAATAGTCATAAAATTCAATTTCTCTAATTTCTTCCCCTTCCTTTTTGTCCCTCTTTTCAGTGAAAAGGAATAGTCACAATAGACTAATTGAAGATTCATATGCATCTCTACCATAAGACCCATGTCCGAATATATATGCAATCCTTGATTCGCTATGATGAAGAAAGGATCTGAACTGCACTTTCAAGGAAACCTATTGCAGTCTACAAACTTTTTATCCAAAAATTATAACCAAGAGCACCAAATTGTCCCAATCACTACTTGATCAGCATGAACTAGATGACAAAAGCCTAATAACTAACTTTAAGCCGACCACCACTACCAAAATATATTAAAAAAACAAAAAGAAAGAAAGAAACTATAAGCAAAAGTAATATCCAAATTGGTCTGATACCCAGAACCAAATTTTGCCACTAGAGTAACCAAAGCCAAAAGTTATGCAAAAACAGTCCATATAAAATGCAAAAAAAAAAAAATAAAATTTACTAACCCTTTTGAGTAGACATAGTCTCCATCAATTTGCAACATGAAGTAAACATCTTTCCCATCGTGCAAAGCCTACAAAAAATCCACAATCAATTGTCACCCACTATCTCCTCATCTAAACCCAACATGCGTATGAGTCACAAACTCACCTTTACAATCATTTTTCCACCTTTGTACTCGTGATCTGGATGTGGGTCTAGAGCAGGGAGGAGAGAGAACTCGAACCCATCAACGTTTTTCCAATCGTCGGCGTGTCCATCGAGAGTGACGAGTCCGGGGCTGAACTCGGCCGCAACTCGGGCCTCTGGGTCGGACTCGCAGCTCCAATCGCCGGACTCTTTGTGCGAGTCCACAAGCGTTGACCCAGAAACCAGAAACAAGACTAGCAAGAGAAGAAGACGAAGCATTTTGATTGGGTTTTGAGACAATCGTCAATGAAAGTGGGTTGTGTTTTGTGGTTGTCCATAAATGGTGAGTTTTTTTGAAGAGATTTTTATAGGTGTCGCCGCCATGGGCGGCGGCGAAGAATTTTCCGTGATTTTGACTTCCCATCTGTTTGGTACCGGCATTAGCATGTGATTTATTCCTTTTTATTGCATTTAGACCCCTATATGTTTTTGTTTTGTAATTCAACGCTCTTGTTGTGTTGTTTCTTGTTGTTTTGCCCCTGTTAATTTTCATCTTCCCTTCACTCTCTTTTCTTTTTCGTTAAATTTGTTCAAAAATTTAGGGGTGATTTGAGATGTTCTAAATAAGGCCTAGTTTGGCATAATATAAAAAATCTAAAAAGTCAAAAATTCACTATCCTATTTAAGTCACATCATCTCATTTAAATCACATCATCTTTCTATCATATCACTTCAAACTCAACCCATATTTCACGTTTTTTCGTAAAAAGTCAAAAAGTACACTTATTTAGATCATTCCAAACAACCCCTAAGTGTACTTTTTAACTTTTTATAAAAAGATGTGTAGAAAAGTAGAGATGAGATATTAATTGATGTGACCCAAAAAAGATAAAAAGATGGACTAAAATAGGGTACCCCAAACAAGGCTTTAGATCAAAAACTTAGTTTGATATATATAGCTCACTCCAATAGTGAAAATCAAAAATTTCATCAATTTTTTCTTTTTAAGATACTTAACATATTCCAAAAATCTCAATTAACTAATTTAGATACAAAAAAAAAAAAAAAAAAAAAAAAAAAAAAAAAAAACTAATCTTTAATTCTTCATCTTTTAACAATTTTATCAAATTTAAGTGAAAAAAAAAGATTATTAAAAATTTAATAAAAGATTTGGACCATTTTCAATTCTTCACATTTTCTTTCTGAAGTGTTCAAAAATTATCTCCAATTTTTACATCAAATATTCACCAAATCAAGAAAGTCATTTTTTTTCATCAAATTGACAACTCATCAAATCTTTTATCAAATTTGAATTTGATTAAAGTTTAGAAAGGATGAAGCATCATAGATGATTTTTTATGTCAAATTTAATGAAAAGAAAAATTCGGGATAAGAGAAGAATATAAAAAATAAAAAAAAAAAGATTTTGATAAAAACTTTATGAAATGGTTGATGTAGTTCATATGAAACTAAGTTTTTTACTCAATTTTAAAATCAAATTAGATGAAAATATAATGAAAATTTAGAGTTAGAGATACTCTAAGGCTATTGTCAACCCTAAAAATTTTATTTGATATGAGCTATTCTAATGTACAAAGTCAAATTTAAGTCTTCGTTTGGGAAGAGCTAAAATAGCTTTATTTTTTAGCGTTTTGGCTATTTTAGCCTAACTTTTTTTAGCCTCGTTTGATTTTTGTTTTTGACTTTTTTGACTTTTGTGAGAGAAAAAATGATGATTATAATTTGGATATGACATTTGGTCTTATTGACTTACGTAGCCAATTTTGTTTTTGTGTTTTTTTAACCAAAAATCCAAAACCAAGCATAGCTTAAATATAAATTTGAGTGAAGACTTCACTAATAGCAAAATGTAATTACCCAACCAAAAAAAAAATAAAAAATTTACTTGCAAAATGAAAAACTTGAGTCACAAAATAAATTTAAAAATTTCGAGTAAACATTTCTTTGATCTGGATAAGAATTTAAATAAAACTTAATTTAGTATGATTTGGGCCAAAGTGTGGAAAGTATTTTAGTGATTTTTGCTCAATTTTAAATTTGATATAAATTTTAATAAATAATTAGAGAAATCTTAACCCCTTTGTCATTGCTCAGTTAATAATAATTCTCCAACAATTTGAATCAAGTGCTAATTTGTAAAGATTTATAATGTAGGCTGAAAGATACCACATTGAAGCTGCTTAAAGTACATTTATAGTCTTTGAATTTTGTCTATTTGGCAAAGATAAATGTGTTTTGTGCACTTGTACAGATTTAACAAACAATACGCAAATTCAGGCGAAAAATAGCACAAAAAAAAAAAAATTTCTCTACGCAAGAAGTGAGAATATACACATATGTGATTTTTTTGATAATTATGTGAGAATTAAAATTATTTTAATTCAGAAAGAAGAATACCTCCTGCCATGATGTTCAAGCTTTTGAATCTTGTTCTTGAATGGTCAAATCTTGAATTTATAAACAAAACACACTCACAGAACATTTTCACAGAACCATATGAGAAAAGTGGAAGGAACAGAGTTTCAAGCCAATTCTATTCACCAAATAACATCTGTGTTTGGTGGTTATCACAGGCATATATAGATAGGCTTGGACCCATATCTAAGTGTAACTTCTTATAACTTCCCACCATCAAGGAAGTTGTAGAGTCCCATGAAACCACCATATGGGATAGTGAACAGACATTAGTTACCCATTAGCCATTAAACTAATTAAATATATATAATAAATATATATAATATAAATAAATAAATAAAATAAACATGTGGCATATGGGCCGCTTTATGAATATTCTTACATTCTCCCACTTGGCACATATAACACACGTTGTTGACTGTCAGGTAACTAACAAACTGAATATCGTCATTAAATAAAAATACCCAAACCTTAGAGTTATAATACACGAATCATGGCGGTTGTACTCTATCAATTGAGTATTTCCTTCCATGTATTACATTGTATCACACTCTCAACTTCATGTGGTGTCATTCTTTATGAATAACTTCTAATAAGTTATTTTGGGTCCAATGATCCTTATGGATCAATAGTGACAATGGACTGCATAGCATCACAAATACTTTAGGTGCACAAAATGATGCTTTTCACTAATAATAATCAAAATGTCATGACAAAACAAAATAAAATAACAATTAGAAAAATTATTGAGTTGACCAATCAGTCCCATGCCCTCAACGTGTTTTGAAAACACCTTTATAGAAAGACCTTTGGTCATGGGATCTGCAACCATCATATTGGTACTAATATGCTCAATGTTGACTTCTTGCTTCTTAACACGGTCTCGAACAACAAGATACTTTATGTCAATATGCTTGCTTCGGCTACCACTTTTGTTGTTGTTAGAGAAGAAAACCGCAGCCGAATTATCACAGTAAACCTTTACTGGCCTAGAAATTGAATCCACAATTCGAAACCCTGTGATAAAATTCCTTAACCAAATAGCTTGTGATGTTGCTTCAAAGTATGCTATAAACTCTGCTTCTATTGTTGACGATGCAATTATTGTCTCTTTGGGGCATTTAGATTGGTTAATATCTATATAGGTATACAGCATATCTTGTTGCGTAATTAAAAAAAAAAAAGGAGGAAGGAAGGATTGAATCATCATATTGTTTTTGGTTTTTATTCATCATCACTAATAATAGATTTCCAGTGGGACCAACTTTATTAAAATCTAAATTTTATTCTTTAAAAATCTATTTTTCTTTCCATTTATTTAGTGAATTTATATGTATAATAAACGTGGAAAGTAGCAGATGATCAACTTATATTGGGTTTTACTTGTGGAGATCACATTGATTTATAATTGCTTCCTTTATTTTTGAACTTTTGTGATTATGGTTTTACTGTTGATCAAATACTATGCATTCTGATAACTTTATATGCATTAGACAATTAGTCCTGTATATGTGGTTATGAGTAGATCAATATTTAACCTTAACCTTTGAAACCTACGCCAGTTTAATTTATTGTTAAATATTATAGTAGGAATGACATGTTATGAAAGACATTTTATTGTAGTTGCATGTGAAAGTAATGAGCAAATTTAATTGAATTTCATACAGTGAATTATAACATGTTCTTTTATAAGTTTATAATTTTTGAGATTCATTGGCATGTTAGCTAAAATAATGTAATATTATATTACATGCATTAAGGTAATTATTTATGCATTGAAAATTCATGTGAAATAAGAGCATGTATACACTATGTGTTGGGCTTATAGAATTTATTTTGGTCCAATTTTTAAGGAAAAAAAAAAAGAAAAAAAATAGTATAAGGTTGAATTACATGTGTTTGATCTTGGGATTTTTCATGTGATATTACTCTGATTGCATGTATTATATATTATGTGCATTAAAAGATTATGTACTTGTTGTAACTGTATGGATTTGCTCACATTAGTTATGCCATAATTAAAAGATTATATTTTGTTTTAAGATTAAAACATAAAGATGACGATCCTCAGTTTTATGATCACATAAAGTAAAAAATAAAAAATAAAAAATAAAAAATAATTTGGCATTTTTATATTGCAATTATGTTTTATGAATAATTTCTCGGTCCCACAGGAAAGTAATTATTTATGAAATTTAATTGGAATAAGATAATGGATTGGGTATTAAAGGGATTGAAACACTCTAAACCCACAGGTATGAGTTTCTTTTCCTTTAATATTTCGGAACCCATTAGTCTTATTATAAAGTAATAGCAAATCTAATACAGTTTAGTGACCTCTACCCACATGAAGGTTTAGATTTGTTACTGAATTTGACATTGGTTGATTCAAACTATAGTTATTGTTTCAAAGCATTAATGATGTTCTTGGTAATTGCAGTGATTTTTACCTTTGCACTGTCTAATGAGTCTTCTCGTATTCCATTCTTGAATGGTGATAATTTTTCGGACTGGAAGGACAAAATCCTTCTAACATTAGGATGCATCGACCTCGATCTAGTACTCCGTGTGGATGAACCTCCTAAGCCCACGGTCAAGAGTTCCGCTGCAGAAAAGAGTTCTTATGATAAGTGGGAGCGATCTAATCGTTTAAGCCTAATGCTCATAAAGTCACATATCAACCAAAGCATTAGGGGCTTAATCCCACCATCTGATAAGGTCAAGAACTACATGAGGGCTATTGAAGAGAAATTTGTTAGTTCTGATAAAGCATTGGCAAGCAACCTAATGAACAAACTATCAGGAATGAAGCATAACAATTCTAGGAGTGTGCGTGAGCACATTATGGAAATGAAGGACATTGCAGCTCGTCTTAAGTCCTTAGAGATTGAGAAGAAAGAAAATGTCATCTCTCTTGTGTGTTATGAATGTAATTTTGTTAATACTCATCAATATGATTGGTGGATTGATTCGGGTTCTACAATTCACATTGCTAATACCATGCAAGGCTTCCTCAGCCTAAGGAAACCAACGGGAAGTGAACAAGGCATCTATTCGGGCAATGGGATGCGTTCGTACGTCGAAG